CAATATGGGATTTTAACATAAATTATAGGTTAGTTTAATGGTCATGTTTTGTATTATGTGTCATTTATGGTGGGTTAGACTGATAAGACTGTCTGAATGTGGGTTAACCAGCCATCTGCCAAAAAGGTTATAATTCCTAATCTGAGTATAATTATCTGGGCATAATTACGTTGCCAGGCCATATTGTCTTTCTGCAGCGGTAAGTGTGCCAGGGGAGATTTCGCGCCACTCGATTCCAGTACCTACCTGTTGATGTATAAAATGTATAAAAACTGCTCAAGACAGCATTTATACACTGTTTTTTAAGCCCCCAGAGGTAATATTATAAAACAAACCTCTTGCTTTGCTTATTGTTTTGTGTGTCGTTTTTCTTCCTTCTTCTTACAGACTTGCACAGTGAATCCAGGAGATTCAAACTCATACTGTCCTGCAGAAAGAAAACATGATGATACTGCAGAGGAATATCATCAGGTGAAGGAGAGACACAGGGGGACTCAAGCGCTCTCGCTGCCCTTCCCATCTCATTTAGGCTACTCAAGTATTCATTTAGAAACGACAGAGTCCTTAGCAGTGTGTATTATAGTCTCACATAAATGTGCATTTTAGCATCAGCATAAAACATAGAAGCTTTGAAATCTAACTACACATTTGTGGCAGTGGTATTTTATTTTAGTTTTTTTTTAATAACTATAAATGACATAAACATGAAATAAACATTAAATATTACATATAAACGTATATTATATGTCATGTCATATGTTTAACATATGATATATCTATGTATTGTATAATACACATAAACATTAAATATGCATTCATTATAAAACAATTATATATAAAGTACAATTCTGAATAAACATATCCTGATGTTCCACAAGCCACTCATATAACTTATTTAATATAGTAATTAAACATTTGAAATTATAATGAATATGTTAAATATTACATGTAATTTCAGTAAATATTATAAATATTAATTATAAAGTATCAACCCAGATTAAAAAAGTACAGCTCAGATTGCCACAATGTTCCTCAGGTCATTTATTATATTATTTACAATTTGTAGTTTACCGTTTACAATTATTATGATAAATATTAAATATGATATAATTAATATTATAAATATTAATTATAAATACCCAACTAAGATTAAAAAAGCACAGCCCAGATTACCACAATGTTCCACAAGTCATTTATTTATTATTAGGGATGCACCGATACCGATACTGGTATCGGTATCGGGCCCGATACTGGCCTCCTGTACTCGTACTCGTACTCGTTAAAATGCCCCGATACCAAACGCCGATACCACACAGCATGTGATAAGCGCCATATTTAAACAAAGAAACACTGACAACAGACAGCAGAAAGGAGTTATGGATGTCTACTACGAAGTATATGTATGCAATGAATATAATGTTAAAATTATTTATTATATATATTTTTTGCAAATTACAGTTTACTATTATTGTGATTACATTAAAATTTGAATTAATATTATAAATATTAGTTATAAATGATAAATGTCTAACTAAGATTCAAAAAGCACAGCTCAGATTACCCTGATGTTCCACAAGCCACTTTAAATCGTTGGTTGTTGTTTTTTCCCCCGAGCTGCTGATGCATAAACTCAATTTCACTGTTTATTTTTAGATGTAAAGGTGATTGTCTGCTAACACCTCGATCCTGCGGGAACTGAATAAACATTCTGGACATGAGGTAACGGGTGCATTTTCTTTGCTGGTCATAATTTTAGAGTAACTTTGATTAGTTTTGACTTTCATTAATGTTTTTATTGCTGAAAACTGGACTAGCTCTGTGTAATTAAACACTTGCATTTATTTGCTAAATTTTGGAACAAAGATTTATGGCTTTGATTTTCTCACAGTTCTAGTGTAAATCATGTTTTGTAAAATATATATTTCATAGAAACATATTATGGCAGTTTAAGTTGAAATTAAATTTTCAGGTCTACTCCATAAATATAATTTAGTACCCATAAACCCCTTTTTAATAAAATTATTGTTCTATCTGACATTTTTGTAAAAATTGAGTTATTCACATATTCTTTTTACATTATGTGATTTTTTTAAGTTGTGTACATTTTGAGACTTTATTACTAAAAAAAGGTTCTATCTACAAAGTATGTGGAACGCAAAAACTTTGAAGCTCAATACCTCAAAACCTCTGAGAATGCAGATAGAACCTTATAATTCCAAGGTGGCCATTTGTGCCTAAAGGGTACTTATTAGTACCTAAAGAGTTCATATTAATAGCCTTTACCTAAAAAATACTGTCCCAGTGAGAGCTTTTTTCTGAGAGTGTACGGTAAGGTACACACAAAAAAAAGTGTATACCTCTCTTACAAAATCTGTACAGAGGTAATGTGGAAAGATCTTTGTTCCTGGCTGTGTTTAGCACCGGTCGCTCTGCATATTCTTCTTAAGAATCTGAAGTGTTTGTCTTTTTATCCTTAATTATTTCCGTCTGTTCTCAAAAGTGTGACACATTTTAGTGAGAACTGTTTTGTGAACCGTTTACAATATAAAGCAGGCTTTGCAAACAAATATGTGGAGTTCTACACTGAGGGGAAAACTACACTGGAACCAACAGAAACGAATGTAAGTAAGCAAATACAAAGAGGGTGTATGAATAAAAATCCTAAACACATGGCAGAAAGCAACAGCACAGTGACACTGTGATTTAATAAACTTTTTTTTATGACCATGGAGAACAATACTAGTGTGTACATTTTAGGTGCTAATATGTACTTTTAAAGTCCTAATATGTACCTTTAAAGTACTAATATGTACAATTTAGGGGTAAATAATGTATAAAGGTGCACCTTTTATCTAGAATACTGTCCTAGTGACAGCTTTGTACCTTTTTCTGAGATTTTATAGTATTCACAGCCCATGTATAGTATATGGAACCATTTTTTTTATTATGTATATTATCAAAGCGTAGCGGAGTAGGCAAAGGGTTTTGAAATGGCCCTTCTGGCCGTGACAATCAGAGAGTTCATATATGGCTTCCATAGCCATGACAGGACAGGCAGAGAGTTCACATACGGCCTCC